TCCTGGGATCGAGTCCTGCATCAGGCTCTCTGCTTCTCCCTCTCCCACTCCCCCTGCTTGTGTTCCTTTTCTCGCTGTCTCTCTCTGTCAGATAAATAAATAAAATCATTTAAAAAAAAAAAAAAAGAACCGTCAGTAGCTATTAGAAAAGGTGAAATATAAAATTTAAGAAACTAAATCCAAAATGTGTTGTCACATTTACAGAATTATTCTCTCTCTCAGAGGATTTGAAGAGCTTCACTGTAACTGTAATAGGCACAGCACCCCTATCCCTCTTTTTTGCTGGGTATGTAAGTTCTCACATAAAGTCACCCATGAATCAACTCCTTGTTTTCCTCAAAGGACTAGCAATTCCAGGATGACGGAATCCAATCAACGAGTTGCCCAATTCAAAGCTTACCAACTAGAAATCTTGCCCCTGAATAATATGATTGCCCTTCACCGTGTAGTCTTAATTACCAGTGAGCTCAGGATTTCAGCTAGCTTAAGATCTCCCTAAGCACCTGAGAAATTTTAAATTTCTGATCTCTTTCAAAGGTGCCTTTTGAATAGTATCATCAAATTTATGTGGGTACCATGTTACTAGTACATGAATATGAACCTAGACAAAACTCTTCTATTACTTTATGGGGCAATGATATTTATTGCAGCTCTTACTTTGAATAGATTCATAAGCCATGATAAAATGAGATATGCTCTTGTCCCAGTAGGGTGGGGGTCTAGTGAACACAAGTCTAGCCCTTCAGTTTCTATATAGTAATAGCAAATGGGATTATAGACCAAGAAATATATTTTTTTGGAAATAATTTTCTTTTTTTTTTGGTATAAATGAAGATGTAGTGGCATCATGAAGGCCTACTATTTAACCATTTCTCATGGGATTTCCCCCACCTATCCAATCCATGTGAACCAGATCTTGAAATTTTTAAGTATGTATCTTCCATTTGTTCCAAGACATCATCTCCATTACTTTTATATTCATGGATCTTAGATCTATGTTACTTTAGATGCAATCTCAGAGCAATGTTAACAGATAGAGGATTATCGATCTGATCTATGTTCAAGCCACTGATTCAACACATAATCATGTCTTAGACATACTGGTAGGCACTGAGGACCCTAAGAGGAAAACTCTAAGCTGGGAGGAGAGACAAGTAAACCAAGAACTATATTATTCTTGATAAATGGTGTGATGAACATAACCTAGAACACTAACAGGAGTATCTAACAGCTAGAAGTAGATCAAAAAGGATTCTTAGGGAAAATGATATTTCAATGGGGTCTTGAACTTGAGCAAGAGTTAACCGACAAAAAGGCAGGAAGGAAGGCAGTGCAAAAAGAGCAAGAGAAGTGCCAAAGAGTGAGGATGCATGAGGCAGGCCAGTGCTCCCGACGAGCAATGATCTTTGGGGCGCAGGAGGACGACGACAGCAATGATCAAAAAGCTCTGCAAAGCTAAGGAATATCAGCTTAACTTTTCGAGAAAGATCCTTCTAAGTACTAATGACTAATCTACTGGAAAAAGCATTGTGTGAAGAGCAGTGACGCACAGGAAGCAAGGAAACATGAGCATATTTAGTGATGCTGTGGTGAGGTAACTTAGATGGCCTTTGGACACAGGCTGTATTACTAGCAGAGCGGGTAGGTGGCGTGAGTCAAAGACACGGGAGATAGGGGCACCTGGGTGGCTCAGATGGTTGAGTGTCTGACTTTTGGGTTCAGCTCAGGCCATCATCTCTGGGCCATGGGATCAAGCCACATGTCGGGCCCAGCACTCAGCGGGGAGTTTGCTTGAAGATTCTCTCCCTCTGCCCCTTCCCCCACTCTCTCTTTCTGAAATAAATAAATAAATCTTTACCCCCCCCCCCCAAAAAAAGACGTGGGAAATAAATAGAAGGAGCAAGGACTCCATGGCTGGAACCTGGTGAATGGGTAGATGGTTCCATGCAGACAAATGTGAATGAGGAGGGCTCACTGGCCGATAAGCAGAGAAAGCAAAGGGAGCAGAGTTAACAAGCCCATTTTCAGCCTGCAGTCTGAGGTTGTTGGGGGTATCCAGGTAAAGATGTCAGCTGAGATATCTGGATATGAGTCTCTGGCTTTTGGAAGGAACGCCGGGACAGACGACACAGATGTGAAATTTATTCCCTTATCAGTCATAGATGAAATCTGGGGTACAGATGTGATCTCCCAGAGAAAGGCAAACCTGTGAGGAACACCACTGCTCAAGTGGAAAAGGAAGCCAGTTGTTTAGGGAACCACAGTACTTGATTCTCAAATATTCACAGTTAACTCCCTCCCCCCACCCCCCAATCCTCATCACACACAGAGGTTTCTAAATGAATTCTCCAGACATTTTAAACCTGTTCTCTTTCTTCTGAAAGAAGATGGGCAAATGGAACAGAAGTAACAGTCTCAGAAAACAAGGACTGCTGAGAGAGAGAGAGAGAGAGAGAGAGAGAGAGAGAGAAAGAGAATGAAGGAGGAAAACAGGGAAGGAAGGAAGGAAGGAAATAAATATCTTTCGATTATCTCTCTGCCTTGGCTGCAAAATGAACTTGGCCCAACCGTGGCCGAAACAGAAAAGCCTAGAGGACTTAGAAGGTTGAAGAAAACTTGTGGAAAGGTCTTAATGGCCAGGCAACCCTCAAACTAGAAACTCCACCTGGAAATCCAGTGGAAGAAGTCAGATTTCAAAACATGGATTTTCAGTAAAATAGAAAGAGGAACTCTAATTGCAGAGGGTGAAAAAGAGCAGTCAGGGAGAGCAATTGAGGTGTAGTGAACACACGTGACAAGATAAGTGGGTGTTTGGTTTTCCTCTGAAAATGTGCTATCTGTATTGCTTTCCTAAAAAATATAGTGTTTTGATAGTTATTCATCATCAGTAGTAATAAATATCTTTGCTAAGTTTTACAAGTGTCCTTTCTGGAACTGAAAAGCACATTATTGTCCTTCAGAGGTTTCCTGAGGCCAGAGGCTGCTTAGGTGGACGCACCACTGCCCCCTGGTGGGAAGGAACTATTTTTGAGTTGAGGCTGTTTCCTCGAACACCCTGCAGCTAAATCTATGCCACCGCATCATCTATCTGCCATATGTAGTCTAAGTACGAAAAGAAAACAACTATTTGTATTTGTTTTTATATGTGAAGAAGGCCCAAGTGAATTCTTAAGAATACAGTTGCCGACAATGAATCATGGAACACTACATCAAAAACTAATGATGTAATGTATGGTGATTAACATAACAATAAAAAATTAAAAAAAAAAAAAAGAATACAGTTGCCGAGCAGATACAAACTCTTTCTCACTTCAAGGGCAAGAGCTGTTTGAAACTAAGCATCTGGAAACAATTTCGTGTCTAGTAAGGTTATTAAATATAGCACCACCAGGCAGGAGGACAGGAGCTCTTTGCCTGCAGATATTAAGAACTTTTAGTTTTATTATAGCTTCTTAATGATCTACAAGTGGCCCCAAACAACCTGAGCTACCATACTATCTCCAAGGTAGCTTTTCATTTAGTTCAGAGCTTTCTCCCTGACCACTGGTTCATGGATTAACACTAACATTTCTAGAGAGCATATGGTCAACCATATACTGTTGTTGACATCCTACCTTTTTAACATAAACTTGCCAGCTGTATATTTAGCCTAATAGAAGCTAGAGGCAAGGAGAAAAGAAAACCATTGGGAATGAACCAGGAGTTTCACTAGCTGCAAAATGTTAACAAAATAAGGAATACAACTGAACAATGGATAATGGCCTGGATAATGATCTGGGGAAAGTGCTGAGCGACTCTGATGTCCAGAGAGACTCTAGGAGAGGACCTCTCACGCCAGCTTCAGACTTAGAAGTGGATGCCAAAAATGCAAACACTTTAAGAGCCCTGTCTAATGCTATTCCTCAACATATGCCATCTCAGAAAGAGAGGTGAAGTGAGGTTCTGGCAGGGAGCTACGGCACCTCTGTCACTGGTCTATTCTAGGCACTTCTGTCGATTGTAACAGTGACTCCATAAATACGTGGCAAAGCATGCCCTGTTTCACAGGCACCGCAGGAAGCCAGCCATTCAGGACATATCAGTAACCATGCACCACAGGCCACAAACATGAGTAGCACCTTGGGGGGTCCCTCGCTGTGACAGAATAATGACCCGAGGCTGAGCCATAAATGGCCCTATCTTGAGCTAGACCAGGCATATGGGCATTATATATAGAAGATACTCGGAAAGGGGCCCCAAATCCCCATTCTTCTCCATCCCTTTCTCCAACCCCAGATAGACATCTCCATTTAAAAAATTAGATGAAGGGGTGCTACAATGAACACACACTCTGAATATCTAGTTATTATCTCCTTATCTCAAATCAGTTTATCAAAACACCTAAGAAAAGAAAGGGTCCAAGAGGGATACATCTTATTTAGATATTGAATAGTGAGCTAGGTTGTATCTAGACAATAGGATGCCACTCAGAATGGCAAAATTGAGTTGAAGCACCAGAGTCCATGGGACCCCAATGTGGGGGCATCAGGAAAGTGATAACTCACTAACAGGCAGAAGGGGATGCAACGTGGAGAGAGGTGAGCTCCGAATATCCAGCTCTGCCAGCCTCCTGCTATTGGGGAAACCAACACTCTCCAAGTGACCTGGGTAAAAAGGAGGCCAATAGCATTCCTTCTTAAAACACAACAGAACATATTTATCTTGATGTGTTTTATGACCCTAGAAACACTCTAAATGATTTTCTCTTGTTCCCAATAAATATAGACCAAAGTGGTCAATGAAGAAGAGTTATCTCATATACAATACGGTAGTTATTTCTAAAAGAAGAGTGTGGTCACTGTGTAATAAACATGAAGAAAAGTATGTCAGAGAGACCAAGGAACTCCTGTTTCTTAGACTTTGTTCCTTTCTTAACACAGCAAGGCCCCTAGACCATGCACATGCTTGGTGTTCTCTTCATGGTCTTTGTGTTCACAAAGGTAGGCAAGGGGCAGACTCACTCATTGAGTAAAGGCATGGATGTTCTCCTCTTGCTCTTCTGTACCATGTTGGCTTGATTCCTCAAGGAGATCCGAATCATAGCTGGGGCCAACCTACAGGGCTCCCCATCCACTTGCATGGGGATGGATTTGTAAGTGAGCAGCATGACCTCCCGACACTGGTGTAGCCTTTCCCCGTGGCCTCCAACTTGCAGTGCAGCCTGTGAATTCAAGAGTCCAAAGGAAGCTGGAAGTTAGTTCTTAAGAGTCAGGAAAGCTAGAATCCCCAAGTGCACGCTGAATAACCCAAAGACCTTTGATAAACATAGTGAAACTTGCTAGCCAGGAGTAGAATGGGAAACCTTGGGTAAATCACCTTAACAAAAATAAACTAAAATTTCTCAACTTTTGATGAGCTTGGCCAAAAATTCTCGATAGCTAATTTTCAGTGTTACGTGTTTTCAGTCTTAATTTAATCACATTACTTTAATACAGAAGTTGTTCTCTGTGCAATTTATTCCCATTGAATAACCAATATAAGGAGAAAAAAAAGACTATAAAAGACATCAAGCACAGTTTAAGGCAATTTTTGTACTAATTTAAATATAAATATATATTATATATTATTTAAATATAAATACATAATATAGTTACACAACATATATATGTATATATAACATATATCTTATATACGTACATGCTATCATATGTAACTATATATTACATATGAAATATACTCATATTTAAATTGGCAGCGCACCCTTGGTTAATTTTCAAACTTGGGCAGGTTTCTCCTTTTTACCAAAAACCTCCTCAAGCTACTTCTAATCTGTATAAGATCAATGAAATGCAAAATAATATTAATTACTCAATTACAAACATTATGAAAGGTAAAGCAAAGGATCAAAATCAAACACAGAGCTCAATCCACCACGGTGGCCACAAAATGGAAAAGTCAATCTAAAATGAAAAGCCCGTTGTTAAGGACAACAAATTAACATAACTTTACTGCGTTAGTTAAAACATATATGTATATGCACACATATATATTTATATATGTTAAATTAATACACTATACATTTTTATGTTGTGTATGTTATTACATATTTACTATCATTTACCTTTTAGGGATGAATGGAAATCATACACATTTGGTTATAAAAGAGTACACAAATTATACAACTTGATGAGTGTCTTTATATACATATGTGAATCACCATCCAGATCAAGCTTTAGATAATTTATAGTTTTCCACGTGCTCCTTCCCAATCTTTTCATACTCCTCCCACAAACCAGTTAGCAACCAATACTCTGACTCCTATCACCACAGATTCAATTTGTTTGAACTTGAACTTCACATAAACCATAGCAGATAACTCTTTTGTGTCTGACATCTTTTGTTCATCACTATTTTTTAAGTACTATATAGCAAAATATATTTAATTGCTCTTCTGCTGGTAAACATTTGGTTGTTTCCAGTTTGTAGCTACCGTTGATGTAAACTTTCTTATAAATATCGCTTGGTAGATACTCTCTTGGGTACATACAATGAGAAGAATTGCTATGCCATTAAGCTGAGATGTATAATTAACTTGAATAGATACTGCTAAATAATTTTTCAGCAAGGTTATATTATGTATTTTGAGTTATCAATTAGCTTACAATAAATATAAAAAAAAGGAGTCAGGTTGTAACTTGTTCAAAATCTAAAAGATTAAAACAAACTATCAACCTGTTTCCGTATGTCTCATTTCCATGAATGAGGAATAAACTTTGTTAACTGATATTTGTGAAGCCAACCTCCCCTTATTTGGTTGCCAGATATTTATATTTATCCGAGGCATTGCATTTCTTTTTTTGTACTTGCATTAATTTGAACAAAAGAAACTTGATTATCTATAAATGCAAAAAGAAAAGAAACACAAAGGGACAAAAGGGACAGAAAGAAAAAAGAATAAAAACTGAGAAGAACTACTTATTGAACACCTGTGATGTTGAAAGCATTCCGTTGGGTGCTTTACATACAATTTTATTTAGTTAGTTGGGAGAACAAAAAAGCAGAGGGGAATGCAGTGAGAATTTACTAAAATTCTTTTTGGCCTATTCCCCGATCCTCTGTTATTCAGAAGTTTTTCTTGGCTGTACTCAAATGATCCACTTAAATCCATTAGCGGATCCACTTAGATTATGAGCCACTATCTCATGTCCACTAAGATCCACTTAGATTAGAGCCACCGTCTCATGTCCAGAACTTTTCTAATATATTTCCCTTGCCTGCAAGTACTTCTCAGCTGAGAACTCTACCCCTTCATCCACTGTTCTGGAAATACCATTTCTTCTTCTCCCCCTCAGCCACCTTTGACTAGGCCCAATCACAAATAAAAATGCAGAACCTGCCAGGTGAGAACTTCTTCCTTGGAGTTTAACAGAACTGAAAACGGTTTTAAATACTTTCCAACCCCTTGGTATGAGAAGGCGTACACGCTACTGTAGAGCACTTTTAAGTCATCTTCCCAGCCTCAAAAATACAGCAACAGCAATACCACAAACATGTAAACAGCTGTCCCGTTGGCATTTCAAAATCAATCCAAGATCACTGCGCAGGCACAGGAGGAATTACGGTAAATAGCTTCTCAGGGTAAAGACAGTTCTTCTATTGTTAGCATAGCCGCAGTGTTTTGGGAACAAGTTAGAGTAAAGGTAATTTTTTAAATGCTCATTAGAAATACTTATTTTTCATCACTCAGGGTGGTCTAGGCCTAACCACAAATAACCCCAAGATTTGCTAGAAGGAATCATTTACTGGTAATAATATGGTGATTTATTAGTGACAGAGATTCAATTATCTGTTCAATCTAGGATCTATCACTCTTGTGAAAATTTCAAATATTGCCTTTCTGATAGCATGGGCCCTGATAGGAAAACAAAGACATCCCCTGAACTAAGTGCATCCACTGCCATTTACTGCCCTGTTGCCCAGACCACAACTTCCCTTCATGTCACAGGTGGGGCTTGAGATCCTGTGTCTTTCCACACTCTACTCCTCCCTGTGATACTTGTCTCCATCTTCCTCCATGCCTCATCTTCTTTCTTACCACTCAAGCCCCTATTCTACTTGCTGTCAGATGGGAAGGATGGACAATCCTGGGTTGGTGGGAGCGGAGAAGAAAACATAGAATAGTTAGGAACAAAATCAGCAAAGGGTATGCAAGAACCTGAAAACCAGGCTGAAACTATAAAATATAAAACTTTGCTAAGAGAAATGAAAGAACAGCTAAATGGAGAAAGACATAGTTGTAGATTGGAACACTAAATACTGTTAATATGTCAATTCTCCCTAATCTATAGAATCAAAGCAATCCCAATTAAAATCCTAGTTTTTTTTTTTGTCAACACAGTCAAACTGATTCTAAAATTTATATACAAATGCAAAAGACAGAATAACCAAAACATTCTTAGAAGGGCAAAGTGGCATAATTCATATTAGCAGTTTGAAGACTTACTATGAAGCTATAGTAATCAAAACAGTGTGGTACTGCCATAGGATAAAGAAATAAACCAATGAAACAGGACAGAGTCCAAAAATAGAGCCACATACAATCGAAGGGCAAAGGCACTAAGGTAATTCTATAGCAAAGTCTACTCAACAAATAATGCTGGGAAAAATTGAAAAAAATGTATTTTTAAAAAATGAATCTTCATATGTCCTTTACACAATCCACATAAATTAATTTGGACTGAATTAAATACTTATACACAAAGCTAAAACTATAGATCTTCAAAACTCAAACACAGGAGAATATTTTCCCAACCTTTCATGGAATAAGGTTTCTTAAGAAGGGCACAGAAAGCCCTCACATGAAATAAGCCTACCTCATAGAATTGGAATTCAGAAGAATGTTTGAAGTTCTGCTTGTCAAAACAGACACTAAGAAAATAAAAAGATCAGAATAGACAGAGAATATATTTGCACTAAATATATCTGTCAAAAGACTTGTATTCGGAATATATAAATAACTCCTGAAATTCAACAATAAAAGACAAACAACCTATTAAAATATGCAAAAAACACACTTCAAAAAAACAAAAAACCACACAAGGTAACAATAAAGTTGAACAACAATGTGTCCTTACTCTCATTTTTTGCTGTTTAAGAGGACATCATGGGATGGACAAAACAGGCATGATTTCTTTCTTTCTTTCTAGGGATGAAATTTTATTCTCGTCTCTCCTTCTGTTTCATCAGGTGTAATATTTAATAGCTTTTTGTTTCTAACTGTGAACACATTTCCAGCACCTGTGGGATATTACTTCTTAACAGGTATTCATGCACATTGCTGTTGGGCAAGTAAACAGAACAAAATTTCTAGAAAGCAGTTTTATAACTGTTATTAAGAGGCTTTAAAATACGTCATTGACAGTAATTTCTTCTGTGGGGATATGTCATCGCAAAGGATTTTGAAATATGAACAGAGGTTTATGAGCAATTATTACAGGATTATTCACACCCACCAAACATCCAAAAACCTCAACATTTCATAAAGGAAGCTTTTCATAAAGGAATAATTATTATATAAATTGAGATATTTATATATGAAAGAGTAGTCAGCCATTTGTGGTATGGGTTTTACTTATAATATGATTTCCTATATGTTTAAAAACAGAAATAAAGCAATTGGAAAAAAACACATCAAAATATAAATAGTTACAGATTATTTAACTATGACTGATATTTTTACTTTTAGTTCTTATGTGTACTATCAAAATAAGCCCACATTTAATATTTTTTCCTAAAAAAATAAAGAATACACTCTCTGGTATGTATAAAACCTCAGCCCTGGGAATTTCCCCATGTGATTTTTCTCACCAAATAACATTTAGCTTTTCTAATTCATAAACATAAAAGAGCTTACATATTTTAATTTCAATTAACATAAAGAAAACTGGCTCTACTTTCTTTAAAGTTTAGGAGACTGAAATCTCTGGATTTCATACTGCATAGCAAATTTGGTGACCAATGCCTCAATCTGTATAATGCTTTGGACTGTCTTAAAGAGTTTTAGATTACTTAGAAACAGACTCAACATGAAAAGACCTTCAAAACCATACAGGCAAAAAATTGTGGCAGAAATAAATACAAATTACAGTGTCTGATTATGGTCTGCATAGAATCCAAAAAGGTAATCAGGGGGCGCCTGGGTGGCTCAGTCGGTTAAGTGCC